CATTTGAGATATCAAAAAAGTACTCCAGAGTGTTGTTCAGCATGGGGGTGAGTAGAAAATGAAGGCTAATCATGTTTTGGGTGTACTATTCCTTCAATTAAACCACCAAACGCTGCTTTTGGTTCTTTGAAACCAACACCTTCAAGATTCGACAAATCAAAGTTCATATATATCATCCAAAAAAATATTAACATATAGTTCAATTACATTAGCTCTAAACAAACACGAAACCACCTGAAATGTCTCCTTGCAGCTGGTTCTTCCATGAAAAGATAGCAAATAAACTGCAACAAACCAATTGTAACTAAAGTTTAGATGTTTTGGTCCAAATGAATGATAATTCTTACAGTATCTTAATGAAGGCTGGGATGGTTTTTGTTTGCTGTTTTGTTGAAAACGCAATCAACTGTTTCAATAAAGAAGATTTTATCCTGAATGTAAATTCTAGTTGTAAATCAGGGTTGGTCAATACCTTGATATAATCAATATGAGCTACTGGCTAAAAACTAAGATATTTGACCAAACTGGAGACCTTCTTTCAGACTGCACTTCTAGATGCTGGAGATCTATGAGTTCAATCCCTGCCTCCATCATCATCAGAGCTAATGAGTAAAAGCAGCTGATGAAGAATGCACCTCTGGAGATGATTTCAGAGAGAAGTCGTCCTGATTTCAATAAACCCTCCAGAGAACCGTGACTATCCTGTTCTCCCAATGTTTGAAAACAACCTTCAGTCTAAGGATGAAGAAAACCTAACATCGCCTTATATTTACACGATAGATATCACCATTTAATTAAATTATTTGCACTGATATAATCATTCAAGCTTTTGGTTTTAAATTAAAAGCATTTTACTTAACCAGATCAAAGCTTGTCTGTCTCATTATGTCTTTGGGGGTCAGAATTAGACATTCAACAAGATCCCAGCAACCAGCAGGAAACTAAGCAAAAACACAATAATAAATAAAATCCTAAATTAAAAAGGCCTCTTCTGTGCATAATAAAAAAGTTACAGAATGAAAAAAGAAACAGACCTCAAATTACAAAAACAAAAGTGGGAATAGTGCTCTAAATAGTGTCCTAAAAATCAGAGCCTTATCAGAGCATCTGTTAGCTTCTATTGATCTTTACCTGCTGGGATTTTAAGGAAGCTCAAAAAGCTGTAAAATTGAGAACTTTGGAAAACATCACAGCTATTAGAGCATCTAATAAACATTTAGATAACATCATAAATAGCAACTGATTTCCCTCATATGGGATCACGCCTTCAAACTGCGAGGCCAACGCCATTGGCTCCACAGCTGATTGGTTGAGCGGTTTAATTGATGCAGGGAGACGCTGACATGCAGACTTTATAACATTCTTCATTCTGCAGCTGATTCATTTTTAGGAGGTGGAATAAATCTGTACCGCTGTCTTTTAAAGCACGTCTTAAAAATTAGCGGCTTTAGTTCGACGTCCCGCTGCGGCCATATTTTGTTTGCCGGTTGCTGTAGTGTGCGTGAAATTAATCCTGTTTGGAGGAGGGGTTTATGATGCATTCAAAATGTGTGGGAAAAAGAACTCTCAGTGAAATAGATGCAGACGGCTTACTATCATCATGAGAACTCGGTGGCAGCGATGGAGTCATTTTAACTATTGTGCGTGGGGAAACTGGAGATACATCCAGTATATTCCATATATGGCCCAGCCCTAGTTCAGTCAGAGGCTTGTTTAGAGCTGCTGCATCACTGACCTCAACAGCAGATCAATTCAACTCCAATTAATCCCAAAGAAATTTTTAAACGCTGTAGTAACCCATCAGCATTTTTTCAATGGTTGTTGATGTTGCAGGTAGAAGGATCTGCTGTAGAGGTCTGTGTTGCATCGGCTCCAGAGAAGCCTCTAACTGAACTGATGAAGAGGGTGCTCTTTATGTGATGAAGAATAACTTTCTTGTTACAGAACATCTCCAGATATTTTAGAGGAGTTCCTAGAACAGATCAGCAGACCGTTCAGCTAATGGCATCGATATCACAACAGAGCAGATACCAACTACAGGTTAGCTAGGTTAGCTATTAGCCCAGAGGCCCTCAGGCTGAATCACTTCCTACGGTTATCTTTATAGTGATTTCTCATGAGGCTGAAACACAAATTAATTAAAGCAAAAAACCACCCAACATGCCGCAGCATCTCTTTGTTAAAACAATTATGACTTTGCTTTTTTAAGATTTAGGACTTGGAGCCAAACATATTCACAACAATCGTACCGACAGCAACTGGATAGATCAGACTTCCCTTCTTATGGTGGCCTTTAAGGTTTGTAGAACCTAGCTGTGAGCGACTGCTGAATTCTGAAACTGAATTAATTAGCTGCACAGACCTAACCCAGACCATAACACAACCTTTAGATTTAATAAACTCCACAACAGAAAGCTCTAACTTTAACTGCATGTAAACAAAGAGCCTCAGTATTTGGACAGCAAAAAGAAAGGATTGAATCTGTAGAGAAATGATCCCAACCATGCATCTCTGCTCTGAGGTAAACAAACACCTGAGTTCATCTAATCTAACGGCTGTTTTCTATCTTTAAAGGAGACCATGCTTCATTCCTGTAGTTCATGCAACAGTTTCAGAAGCTTCAGTTTTCTTTATCTCAGACATTTTTCATTTAAAGCAGAAATATCATTTACTAATAACTGCACTTGTTGTTTTACTTTTCTCTTCAGTCTATTCTTTATTGTAGTCATTTTTCAAGTGCAATAGTCTTTCATGCGCTGAAAAGCTTTAATTTTCCACACTTGAATTTCTCAGCTCATGGTTAAAAAGGCTGTTTCTGTTCTATTGCATGAAATTTCCTTTTAATTTCATCAACAAGAGTCTCAGACAATATAAGACAATTAGTGTAAAAAGTAATTTGTCACTAATGTTCCCTGGTTGGTGTTTCCATATCTGAAGGCATGTAAAGAGATACACTTCTGTAGATATAAATGATGCCTTTAAATCATTCTGTACATGTTTCCGGAGGCCTTTAAAGTATTTATACATTTCTGTTAAAAACAGTCATATCTGAATTAAAATATGTTTTTTAACTTCGGGGGGGGGGAAACCAGAAAGAAAGGAGTTAGCTTCGCTTTTCACTGCACGCAGAATTCTCCAAAACATTTGAAGCGTAAACACAGTGAATGTTAACGTTTGCCGCCATATTTGGTCTTCTAAATAAAAATAAAACACCATAAATCTGCGGTGAACGTTAAGTTAAGAGTTATTTTAGCCGCGCGGCTCCCTGTTTGCTGATAGTTACACACTGAATCTGTTTTGATTCTCAGAAGCGTCGAGCTAACTGGCTAGCTAGTCAGCTAGCTGCTAGCAAACAAAGAGCAGAGGAAGAAGCTAATGATGCTAACAGGCTTCCGCTACTTCATCATGTCGCATTTTATCCCATTAATCTTAACAGGAATCTCCATTAACCCAGTCTGCTTCAGAGAAACAGAAGCTATTTAAATTCTTCCATTAATGTGGTTAAGCTGCTGCTGCTGCTAGCAGGCAAAGCAAACAGCAGAAGCTAGCTAGGCTGTGGTCGCGGGTGGAATTCCCACTGAGAGCAGCGTGTTTCTAAAGGCTTCGTGTCTAGAACATGTCCAGCTGTCCTGTCTCACCATGCGAGCAGCTTCAGCCCAGGTCCGCTCCTTCTTCCTCTTCTGTTTGTCCTTCATCTCTGCTGGGTGGCTACCGTTGAAGCTGAAAGCGATGGCGGTGTACCGTTAGCCAGTGGCTACCACTAGTGGAAGAAAAGGCTCCTTTTAAACAGACTGCTGCTGCTGCGACTTTCTGTGGTTGCTGGAGCGTTTGGATGCGTTTCTAAAGCAGCTAGTCGCTCATCTTGCTGCAGAGGCAGAGTGAATGCAGGGTTAGCAGCAGGAAGAGCCGGGTTCAAAGGTCAAATCCTCCGCAGGAATGCAACACAACCCGCCCCCTCCTCCCGTTCCGCCAAGAAATAGGGCGTTTCCTCAATCATCAGCAGAACCTCAATAGAACCTCAACAGAACCTGAGCAGAACCTATACAGAACCTCTGCAGAACCTAATCAGATCCTCAACAGAACCTCAGCTGAACCTAAACAAACCTCTGCAGAACCTAAACAGAACCTCAAAAGAAACCTCATCAGAACCACAGCAGAACCACAGCAGAACCTCAATAGAACCTCAACTGAACCTCAACAGAACCTGAGCAGAACCTATACAGAACCTCTGCAGAACCTAATCAGATCCTCAACAGAACCTCAGCTGAACCTAAACAAAACCTCTGCAGAACCTAAACAGAACCTCAAAAGAAACCTCATCAGAACCTCAACAGAACCTCAACAGAGCTTCAGCAAAATCTCAGCGGAACCTCTGCAGGACCTCAGCAGAACCTCTGCAGAACCTTAGCAGAGCCTCAGCAAAACCTCAACAGAACCACAGCAGAACCTCTGCAGAACCTCAACAGAACCTCAGCAAAACCTCTACAGAACCTCAGCAGAACCTAAACAAAACCTCAGCAGAACCCCAAAAAACCTAATCAGAACCTTAACAGAACCTCAGTAGAGCCTTAGCAGAACCTCAACAGAGACTCCGCAGAGCTTCAGCAAAACCTCAGCAGAATCTCAACAGAACCTCAGCAAAACCTCTGCAGAACCTAAAAATAATCTCAGCAGCACCTCAGCAGAACCTCAGCAGAACCTCAAAATAACTTCAACAGAACATCTGCAGAAACTCAGCAGAACCTCAGCTGAACCTCAGCAGAGCCACAGCAGAACCTCAACAGAACCTTAACAGAACCTCAACAGAGCCTCAGCAAAACCTTAGCATAGCCTTAGCAGAACCTCAACGCAACCTCAACAGAACATCAGCAGAACCTTAGCAGAGCCTCAGCAGAACCTCAACAGAACCTCAGCAAAACCTCTGCAGAACCTAAAAAGAATCTGAGCAGAACCTCAGCAGAATCTCTACAGAACCTCAACAGAGCTACAGCAGAAACTGAACAGAACCTCAACAGAACCTCAGCATAATCTCTACAGAACCTTAACAGAACCTTAGCATAGCCTCAGCAGAACCTCAACAGAACCACAATAGAACCTCAGCAGAGCCTCAGCAGAACCTGAACAGAACCTTAGCAGAACCTTAGTAGAGCCTCAGCAGAACCTGAACAGAACCTCAGCAGAACCTCAACAGAACCTCAATAGAACCTCAGCAGAGCCTCAGCAGAACCTTAAAAGAATCTCAGCAGAACCTCAGTAGAACCTCAGCAGAGCCACAGAAGAACCTCAATAGAACCTCAACAGAACCTCAGCAGAACCTCTACAGAACCTTAACAGAGCTACAGTAGAAACTCAACTGAACCTCAGCATTACCTCTAGAGAACCTTAACAGAACCTCAACAGAACCTCAGCATAATCTCTACAGAACCTTAACAGAACCTAAGCAGAACCTCAAAAGAACCTAAACAGAACCTCAGCAGAACCTCAACAGAACCTTAGCAGAGCATCAGCAGAAGCTCAACAGAACCTCAGCTGAACCTCAACAGAACTTCAGCAGAACCTCTAAAACAACCTTAACAGAACCTCAGCTGAACCTCATAAGAACCTCAGCAGAACCTCAACAGAACCTCAACAGAACCTCAGCAGAACCTCAACAGAACCTCAGCTGAACCTAAGTAGAGCCTCAGCAGAACCTCTGTAGATCCTGAGCAGAACCTTTGCAGAACATCAAAAGAACCTCAGCTGAACCTTAGCGGAACCTCAGTAGAACCTCAACAGAACCTCAGCTGAACCGTAGCAGAGCCTCAACAGAACCTCAGCTGAACCATAGTACAGCCTCGGCTGAACCTCAAAAGAACCTCAGCAGAACCTAAACAGAACCTTAGCTAAGCAACAGCAGAATCTCAGCTGAACCTGTGCAGAACCTCAGCTGAATCTTAGCACAGTTTCAGCAAAACCTCAACAGAACCTCATCTGAACCTTAGTAGAGAATTTCAGCTGGAACCTCAGCAGAACCCTTGAAGAACCTCTGCAGAACCTCCGCAGAATCTCTGCAGAACCTCAGAAGAACCTTAGCAGAATCTCAACAAAAAATCAGCAGAACCTCAACAGAACCTCAGAAGAACCTCAGCAGAACCTGAGTAGAACCTTAAAAGAACCTCAACAGAACATCGGCAGAACCTCAACAATCCGCTGCTTTATTAATTTTACCTCCTGAAATATTTCACACTGCATTAAATTACATTAAGACACTTAATAAAATAAAAAAGACAGATTTATCCTAGAAGGTAATGCTTTGTTATAAACAGCATTAGATAAATAAACATGAGAAATATATTATTGCAAAATATTCAATGAAATTCCATTGAAAATAGTCTTAGAGATTAAAGTATTTCAACATGTTTTGTCTTTGAAAGGGAAGCAGTCAGAACTAGAACTTAAACACTGAAGGATTCAAGAGATTAAAATAAATCATCCGTTTGGCTTAACCTTGCTAGGAGGTCATAATTTCTAAGCAAAATTCAGTAATTTTATGCTTTTACCCAAACCTCTGACACAGTAACAATGAAATTCTTGAAATGTATGTTTAGGATAATCTATTTGAATTATGAAATCTATAAAAATGAAGGACATACAAAGATAAGATTAATTTGATAACTCATGAAATGGAGGAAGTGGTTGAGAGGAGGGTGCTGTTCAAGCTTCCATCCATCATGGACGCCACCTTCCATCCTCTGCAGCAGACTGTAGAGGAGCTGCGCAGCTCCTTTAGTCAAAGACTTTTACACCCTGATTGGAAAAAGGAGCGCTACCGCAGGTCATTCATTACAATGCCACTGCACTCTAACCTGGTTTAAAAACACTGCATTAACTTAGACCATTGATCTATTTAACAAACCAGAAAATAAGATACTGTATATATTAGTCACCTTAAATCTCTGCTTCTATATTTTCTACCATCTACTTAATATATCTGGATCCTCTGTATTTACTTCATGCACCTTTTCCTTCTTTCCGTTCTTTCTATCGCTCCTAAGAGTGAATTTCTCTATTGTGAGATCAATAAAGTTCTACCTAATCTACTATAGATCATCGTACAATTGTCCTCTTGGTGTTATCCTGAGGACTGAGGACTTATTTAATCCCCATGATAAATAGGTTCACAAAATAAACTAGAACTATTCAAGAGTGATGCAGAAAATTACTCCATGTAGGTTTAGTTCCTAGAGTTTCTTTGGTAGAAAGAATCCTCTCCTGTGGAAGCAACTTCCAGTTGTAACCCATGAGGCAGACATTCTGCCTATTTTTAAGACTACGGTAGTTTAAATACTTTTATTTTCTCAAAAAAATATACATTTAGAGTGGCTCTAGAGTGGTTATCCTGAACTATCTCTGTGCTGTTATAGGCTTAGGCTGCTGGAAGACATAAAATATAATCCTTCCTCTCTACTGTATTTTCCTTCCACATATAGAATGACCAGCCTGTGCCTGTGAATCCCTTCCATCGTTTCTATTGAGAGATCCTTGCTTGCCTTTGATGTTTCTTCTCCTTGCGTAGATGATCTACCTGGTCTTCCAGTGGTCAGCTCCGTCTTTCCTCTGGTTTAGGTTCTGCTGGACGTCTTAACCTGTTAAAGGGATGTATTCCTTTTCATTCTCACTTCATGTCTGAGAATCTCTGCCAAGCCTCCTTTTAAATGTGCTTCAGGAGTTTCTGGAGTTGCAGAGCTCTGCAGCCAGTCTGGTCTGTCTGTTAGGCTAGTTAAGCTAATTAAGCTAACCAATAATATTCTGTCTAATAATATCTAATCATTTTTCCAGAGAAAGTTTTGACTACAAAAAAAATGTGACTAAGAACTTGTTTGTGCTGTGGAATTCTGATATGAGATTTATCAAATCAGAGGAAAATCAAGTGTTAATGATTGTTTTGTAGTTCCTCATGGATCAGGTCTAAAGAATTTAATGTGAAATAATTATTTAAACTTCCTGCCGATGGATTCATTGCAGCTTAATAATGTTAGGAATTATTCAGCTGCATAACTATACGGCTCATTTATTAGCTGAAACAATAACAATAGATAACTTTGAATGGAGCAAAAACAGTGCTATAATGTATTTATCAAGCATTAGAGGAAATAGTTAAAGCAGCTGTCTGTTGTTACTACCGCCACCTGTTGGACAGAAGCCGAAGTGCAGCCTTCCTCAGCCTGAGAGTACAGAGACATTAGAGAGCTGTAACCCTAAACCATGGAAAACATTTTTCTTTATTACCTATTAAAACTGTAAAGGAAGAGAAATGGCAGTTAAAGTTCTATGAATTATGTCGAGATATGTTGGGATAAATGTGACAGAAGACATTTTATTGTCTTTTTAAACTGGAACATAAAAGTCTTTCTTTATGCACTGATTGATTTGCTGATCTAATCATTTAATGAACTAATTCCAGGGTTTCAGAGTTGATAAAGTGCTTCCAAAGGCTGGTCAAAGAACACATCGTCTCCAGTCTGCCGCCAACATTCCACCCGTTCCAGTTCGCCTACCGACGGAACCGCTCCACTGAGGACGCCATCTCTGCTGCTCTCCACCTGAGCCTGGCACACCTGGAGGAGAAGAACACCCACGATGGATGCTGTTCCTGGACTTCAGTTCAGTTTTTTCAGCACCATCATCCCACAGCATCTGATGGGCAAACTGGAACAGCTGGGCTTCAATACACCCCTCTGCTACTGGCTGCTAGACTTCCTCACCAGTGTTTACATTCTGATCACTGCTGCACTTTATAAAAGGAAATGTTCTTTTCATTGTTTGAAGCTGAATACAGCAGAATATGATTAGATTGTTAGTATCATTTGGACGTAGATTAAAAGAAAATATAGATTTTATTAAGAAGAGTTAAATATATATATATATATATATATATATATATATATATATATATATATATATATATATATATATATATATATAATCAAGATGAGATGCAAAATCAGCTTTTTAAAAGTTGTTTCAAATCTGCTGTTAATAATTTAAGTTGTTTTTGCTGTGTTAATGTTTTTAGTTAAATTAGTATTTAAAAAGTTTCACTATTTCGTTTTTTTCTATTATAGGATTTATGTTATATTTCTATAGGCTTTCTAAACAATACAGGTTCTGAGAATAATATCGTTATTAAGACAAAAAGGAAAAGTCATTAAATTGAATGGAAATATGATGAAATGTTGGAACAGGGATGAAAGTTTAAACTATAAGTCTTGTTTAATAAATGGACCAGTCATCTCTGAGTATTTAGGAGAATGAAAAGCGTTTCCATGGTAACCGTGTTTCCATGGTGACTGTAGTAACTGTGCAGGCATGTAGTGAAGTTTACAGGAAGAGTTTGTTCTAGAATGTATATAAAAAGCATCCCGATCCACACTCCAGTAGATGGCGGTAATGCGCATCAAAAGGAGGCCAACCGCCATAAAAAAGAAGAAGTTTGTTTCATTCATTGTATGAAAGACTATTTTGTTCCTTTCATGGTAGAAGTGATCAATTGTAGCGCTCAGACGACAAGAAAAACCGAAAAAAGTCAAAATAATAGTTAATGCTGCTAAAAAGTATAAGAGATTTAAATTGGGAAACAGTTGAAAGCATGATGGGAAAAACCATCAGAGACTGCAGAGTGAGGATAACTTAAAGATAAATTAAAAATTATGAGGGCGAATGTGATTGAGTATTTATTTTTGTTGGGTTCAGTTAAACAGTTCGGAAAAATATTATTTTACTTTTTATTTTATTTTTTCTGTGGGTGAGTCGTGTCCTGTTTCCTTGTTTAACTCCTTATCAGTTGGTGGCGGTAATACACTTTTAACTAGTTTGCCAACCGCCATAAAACATCAGAAGAAGAAGAAGAAGAAGTTTGTTCTCTGGAGGCGCTGCTCAAACTTCGCCTGACATTTTGACGTCAGCAGGATGTTCGCTCCACTGCCGTGACGTCACCCTCCCAGAATGCCTGGCTCCCAGCGCGGTGCCCCAGAGTCCAGGCCTGAAACTCCAACAAACTGCTTTCAAACTTCTGCTGCAATGTCGCCGCGGAGCGCGAAGGGAGGAAGGACGCAGAGCCGGACGGACGAGTCGGTGAGTAAAGCTCCGATGCTCCTCCGCTGCTCCTTCGGTTCTCCTCCGCTGCTCCTTCGCTTCTCCTCCGCTGCAAACTTCGACAGAAGTTGGTGAAGCTTTTGTTTATGAATCAGGCTCCGCTGCGGGGATCGCTCCTCCGCTCCTCTCGGAATCACTGCGGCAGGAAGCGGCTCAGCTGCGGCTCCATAAAACCCCAACCCACCGACCGACCCCGCAGGCCGGAAGGCTGCGGAGCCCGGGCTGCTCCACACACAGCTTCTGCACAACTTCCATGGCGCGCCGCCTGGAAGGCCGAGCCAGAGGAGCCGAGCTTAGATGAGCCGAGCTTAGATGAGCCGCTTAGCCGATCCGAGCTTAGCTGAGCCCAGTTTAGCTGAGCTTCAGCTAAAAACCTCCTGCGGGTTCTGCTCTTTCTGAGGAACAAATGGAAACATAACACTCTATGGAAAGCCGTTTCATTCAAAATTAAACACTTTAATATTGCTATTGACAAATACTCAATAAAATAAACTACTGCCTCTATGGCATAAAACCCAATATATAAGAAATGCAGGTGAAGATTCTCAGTCATCAGAGTCATTCTAAAAAGGTTTCAAAGTTTAAAGACGTTTCTCTTCCCATCCAGATTGGATCCGCTCCTCTGGTTCAATCTGCATGTTTTCTAAACTAAAACCAGGTTTTATTTTTGCTCCACTCTATAAAACCTGCAACTGAACTTTACTTCAGACGTTTTGAATTGAAAAAGCTTCCTGGATGGGAAGAGAAACGTCTTCAAAATTGGAAACAAAGTTTTTGTGTGTTTTTAGTAGGGGTGCACGATATTGGGATTTTGGGCGATATCCGATATGCCGATATTTTAAAACTCATGTAGCCGATATCGATACCGATGTTAAAGCTGGACAATAATTAGTAGTCATTGAAAATAGCAGTTTTGTTATCCATTTCTGACACTTTGGAAAATAATGTACTCAAATATATTTTCATATCGTCACTGTCGGACGGAAACCTCGTATTTCCAAAACCATAAAGTTTACAGGAAATTGTAAAAACAGCGACAGCGGAAGAGCCCAATGGAGTAATGAGATTAAGTCCCAACCTTTTTTCAACACTTTTAATTGGTTAATATTTTCCAAAACATACGTTCACATGTGGGGACTGACCAATCCTATCAATTTATGAAATTAAAAAAAAAAAGTCCAAAATGGGAGTTACAAGGTTTTTTCCCCGACAGCGACGATATGCTAATATCAAATTGATTTTTAAAAACGCGGTATCGATCTATTTTACTTTCAAAATCTGGTGAAATTTCATCGTTCTGTTACAAACTCTCGTGATATTTTGCAAATTCTTGTGAGATTTTGTTAGTAAAATAGATCGATACCGCGTCAATATATCAACATATAAAAATATGGCAACATTTGATGAATTTTCGGGGGATTTCGTAGCATAACGATGACATATAGCAATATTTCATTAGTAAAAGAGATTGATATGGTGTTTTTAAATGGCAATATATCAGCATATGAAGATATTGGGATATTTTAAAGTATAAATATTTTTTCCCTCGTCTTTAGAAGTTTTTAAGTCTGTAAAAAAGAAGTTTTTGAGGAAGAAGAAGAAGTAGTATTTTATTTATTTTTTTTTTAGACTTCAGAAACTCAGAAGCTGATCAAATATCGGGTTAAATATCGGTGGGGGGGCCGATGTCCGATATTCAGTTTTAAGGCCGATACCGATAGGGGGCCGATTATATCGTGCATCCCTAGTTTTTAGGAATATATAAGTAACGATTTTGCAAATGTTTAATTGATCTGTTCTTTTATCTGAATAAATATGTTATTATTTATAAGCTCAGAGCAGAGCCCCCCTGCAGAGAAAACATCCCTCATATGAAAATAACTGGGAATTTTTTTAAAAAGTAGCTTTAAAACTAACATGGCACAAATAAAAAAACACTATGAAATTACTAAATATAATTTTTATAACTAAATACATTAGATTGAATAACATCTTTGATTATATGTTTTGGAAAAACATATTTTATAATTAATGGGAAAATGTTTATATTTGATGAAAAATGTATTAAATATATATTAATTACAGTATTGTTTTAATTTGGAATAAAACAGCTTTCCATAACAGACAGCAGCTTTGAAGTGAAGCCGTTTGTTTATCTTCCACACAGAGAGGTTTAAAAGATTAAAACAAAGTGAGCTTTCTATAGTGAGCAGCAGCTCATGATTTGCGCCCCCTGGTGGTTCATATTAATATGAAAATAATCTGTTTTATTGAAATGTTTCCATTTTCCACTAAAACCCACAGATTGTTTGTAGAATCCCCATAAACTTCTCAGCCTTCTCATTTTATTACCCTTAATAAAAAAATAAAAAAAAAAGATGTTTAGTGAGATTTTGCTGGAAACTGCATTACAGCTTCCAACCAGTAGGGGGTGCTGATGGGGAAACAAAGTTCTGACTTTACTCCTTTTTGTTTATTCTGATATCATGTTTAGTTTAATACAATCGTCTTCATCTGGCTTTTTTGTGAAACAGGTCAAGATGTGTTTTTGCTCCCAGGCATCTATGTGAGATTTCTAGTGTTTGGTTGATGTTTGTCAACAGTGGTAAAAAAAATAAGTTTTCATTTAAAGGAAGAGGAGGAAAAGTTTGAGGCTGAGCGCTGCTGCTGAGTAGGACTTGATAAACGGACGGTTGAGCTTTCAGACTCAAACGTTCAAACATGAAGAATCTGAGACGTAAACTCCACATGATGCTAATCTCTCTGCTCATTTAAAGCTAACTCTGCTGCAGCTGGATCATGTTGTGTTTTTTAATAAACTCTGACGCCGTCTGTCTGTCTGTGTTTTTTTAATCTCAGGTTTGTGAAGAGGAAGGCCAGTTTCTGTGACCCGGTGGCGTGTGCGTTCAGATCCTCTGAGTCCTGACGTAGAGTCCTCATCCCTGCAGCCCTTTGGGGTTGTTATGGCAGCAGAGTTCATGCTGTGGACCGAGGCTCTGCCCTTTAGCACGCGTCCCATCAGCCGCCAGTCCTGCAGGAAAACATCAAACTTTAAAAGCTGCGGCTCTTAACAAAACCTCTGCATCTGGACTTGGACTAGCAACCATAGCGCAGGAAGCTGATGCTCCTTCCTCCTCATGACTCTTGTTCCTATCAGCTCAGGCTCTTGGCCCCGCCCCCGCGCAGCAGCGGCGCCGCCGCCCATTTCGTCCTCATTAGACCATGTTCCACGAGGATCACCTGAAAGGGCAGCTTTACGAGAACCTCCCGGCCAGTAGGCAGCTCTTCCAATGCCAGGAGTGTGGAAAACAGTACAACACTCAGCTGGGTTACAGACGCCACCTGGTGGCTGCCCACAGCGCTGCAGCGGGCCCGCTCTGCATGGAGTCCCCCGCCATGTTGGAGACCCTGGGGGAGCACGGGGACCGGCCCCTGTCCACGGACGGCGGCGGCGTGCCTCCGAGAGAGAGGAAGTACTCGTGTGAACGATGTGACCGTCGATTCTACACACGGAAGGATGTGCGGCGCCACGCGGTGGTGCACACCGGGCGCCGGGACTTCCTGTGCCCGTGCTGTGCGCAGCGTTTTGGGCGCAGAGACCACCTGACGCGGCACCTGAAGAAAAGCCACGCGCAGGAGTCTGGTCTGATGCCGGCGTCTAACTCCGGCAACCACGGAGCGGCTCAGACCCCGGTCAAAGAGGAGCCCCCCTTAGAGGCGCCCGTCAGAAGCTCCGCCTCCAAGGATCCCAGCGAGGGTTTTACCAGGGAAATGAGCGCTTCCTACAGCTTGCCAAACCTGATCCCTGCCATGGGGCCTCCTCATGGCCTGGTGCAGGGCTCCTTGTCCTCCAGCATGGGGGTGGGTCATCATATGACCACGCCCTCTTCCCACCCCCATCGACACGCCCTCCAGCCGCCGGCGGCAGCCCAGCAGCAGCCCTATGGCGGCATGTCCCAGTACCCGTACGGCTCTACCTCATATCCTCGCTCTGACATGGATGGTTTCCTGCTGGACTTCCAGAGCGTCCCGTCGTCTCAGCTGAGTGCGGCCGGGTCCTCCATGGCTGCCTCACCCCAGAAGGAGATTGTGGGGGACGGGGTGGACGGAGGCGGGGGCGAAACCCATCCCGTGCCTCGCAGCCCGGCCGTCTCCACCGGCGAGCCGCCGTGCAACACCAACATGGACCTGGGCTCTCTGCTCAGCTTCCTGCCTTTCGGGCTGCCGCCCTACAACCCTCACATGGGGTTAGTGATGAGTTACCCCCCCGCGCCCTCCCCCACTTCGTCTCCCTCCTCTACCTCGGGGGTCCCCGGCCAGGCTCCGGGACCCTTCAGCTTCCTGCAGCCCCCCCAGGCTCATGGGCCGCAGGGCTCCGGGGTTTTTAACCCCAACCAGCTACCTCAGTCATACAGTCCTGCTGTGAGCAGCTCCAGCTCCCTACCTCACTACTACCAGGCCTTCCAGCAGTAGATACCTTCAAGGATTCTCCTCACGCACTTGTTGTACATAATCTGAGAAGAGTTGTATATTTTTGGAAACAAGCAACAGGTCACCTCATTAGTATTACCTCATGACTGAAAAGGTTTGAATGTTCCAGAGGAATCCCACTTCCTTCACTTTTTCTAGATTTTATTTTTCCTTTCAACACGTCGCCGTTAGAGAAGCGTTTCCTCCCATCGGTGGGGTCGGGCTTCGCTCGCTCATGACCCTACCTGTGGGCGCAGTATTTCAGCAGTATAGAAGAAGAAAATGACCAAAATGAAGCTGTGAACATAAGCAGGTTGCTGATGGCCGTTTCTCGGCCGTGGCTAGCTGTGAGGCTCCACTGCAGGTCAGCTTCACTGCACCGTAGCTGCTCCTCCAGTTCACTTCTAGTTTGATGCACTTAACTTGCGTTTCATTGGTTGATGTGATGCCAAACCGTGTGAGAATGAAGCTGCTGTGGGTTTAAAAAAAAAAGACAAAAGCCACTTAGAAAGACGGGTTTGAAACTCGACGCCGTCGTCGCCACATTGAGCACGCTGCCCCTCCGCGTTAGTCCGGAGCGGCGCCTGGAAGTGCGCTCCATTGATGGAGACGCTCTGTTAGCTGATCAGACCTTATAAAGTTAGTCTTTCTAGCTGAGGATGCTAAAGCGATTAGCCGCCTGTCTTTCATTGGATCAGAGGCTTCTCCAGATCCGCTGGAAGACAGACCACTACAGGACATCCTTCCTGCCTACAGCTGGAAGCTGAACGCTATCCCAATAGTTGACCTCCCTTTGGGATTCATAAAGATGGAACTGATTGGATCAGTTCCATCAGGGGTTTGCAGATGTTCTGCCGTCTTCAGAGACTCGTTTGTGCCTGGAAGGTCGTCTGACCTGTTTCATTCCTGGATGTATGATCATCCACCTTTCCTTCAGTCTGTGCCTGATGAAGACTAGAAAAGTCTTCCTCCTAGCAACCACTGAGCTGCCTTAGATACAGGACTGTGTCTCAATGCGGAGGTCTGCTTTACAGACGGCCTCTAGGGGCGCTTCGTCATGTTTCCAGGCGGAGGAGAACCACAGCTGGATATCTTGCATGAAAAGCTGCTTCAGAATTCGGGTTTTCCTGAGTGGAAAGTTGGGGTGGAGGTGGGAATTTTCTGGAGTAGTTCATTAGCGTCATAACGAGCTTCCTAGTGTCTCATTGGGACTAGACCCGAGCACTTACCGTAGTTCTAGATGATCTCAGCACATGTAGGCTTTGTTTTTGTTTTTTTCTGGTTGTTCCCTTTCACTAGTTAAGACTTTACTTTCCCCTTTTTCTGGTCCTGAACCTAAAGGACGAGCAGAACCAGAACCGGCGGGGTTTTGGGCCTCAGCCGAGACACTGGGGGCCTTAAATTTGGACTCACTTGGTGGATGAGTGGAAGGCGCCCAGGTTCCTACGGCCTTCGCACTCTGGACTATGGTCTCAGCCTCTGTCATCTGTCCAAAGGACTGTGCTCCGAACGTCTGGTTCTGCTCTGAGGCGAAGTCCTGCAGCCACAGGAGAAGCTGCTCTGTCCGTCAAACTGGAGGCGGTCCCAGCTGTCCTGGACCAGCGCGCCATCAGCAGAGGACGGCGGGGGGGACGGACTGCGGCTGAGGATCAGAAACTAGAGCAGCTTTCCTTTGACTGTCTATAGAAATGTGTTAATAGAAGTGTACAAGTCTGTGAGACTGATGGTCTACCTCTGCCGCATCATATTAGGGTCTACAATGTTTTTATCATGTTTGAAGTCCGACCTCCCGCCCAGCCCCCCCCCCCACATGTTGCCTGGGGGTGGGGGTTATATCAGCTCTTAGATTTCACTGAACTTCTACCTCAAGCAGCAGGACTGTCTCTGCAAACTGCTGCTAAATATCTTCTTATTTTTTTAAACAAACCTAATTTGTAAATCTGCGGGGGTTCAGCTGACCCTCAATAACTTCATGAAATGTTCAAAGAGAAGAAAATAGTTCCATATCCCTGTTCAGGCTTCCTTTAAAAATAAAGTCTTTTAGTTTAGCAGATTGTTGCGTCTGGATAATTTCAGACGATTTAAAGAGAAAAGTTGATGAAATCCATTCTGGGCTCCTGTTCAGCCGCTGCTTCTGCTAAAGTCCAACGTTCAACTTTTCCAATATTTCACCATTTTTCTGAAAAGCTGAATCATCAAAACTACAGGATCTAATGTTTGAGTTACGCTTCCTGAAAGTAAGACGATGAAATCCAGATTTATTTTTCTAATCAGGTCATTGGAGCCTTCTCTGTTCTAATGTGACATCATCGCTCCTTAAAGGAACCATTAGAAAAGCATCATCCTGTCAGTAAAGGTGTTTTACTGATAATCCAGAAATGTTAATTTCTCTGCATCAGAAGCAAAGAAGGAGCTGCTCTTTCCTCCTGTTCTGAACTGATTCTGACTTTGATGTTTTCCTGAAGGTTTTTAGTAAATATTGAAGCGATGAGTCGTACAGGATTGTCTAAGGATTTAATACTTTTCAATAAATGATTGGGTATAAACTGTTTGTTCTGTTTTTCACTGAAATAAGCTCTGCTGACTAGGAGTGATTAAAGGGTTAAATAATAAAACACTGAAGCGAGGTCAGTGCAGAGCCAATCTATACGTAGACGCCTCATTGGACGCTGGGTGGCCATCTTGGGTCAGACCACGGTTCAGCTGAATGAATAGGAGTCGCCTCAGATCTCATTTTAATGACCTGAAAGACGAGTCAGATATTATATTACAATAACCTCTGACACGTCACAACCCTTTAAAAGATCAAAACTAAATCTGAAATTACCTTTACATTAGATTACACCTTTATTTAGATTAAAAACTAAATCAAACTGGATGAGAAATTAACCATAAAAAAACGTTCAAATTAACGGTAAAACACGGGCAGCTGTGGTTAGGGTTCATCCTAACCGTAAAAAAGGGGGAATCTGTTGAGTTAACCTTAAATTTTACAGCTGAAAATATTTCTCACTGAATCATTAAAGAAAAAACTAATTACCGTAACCCTTTGAACTGTAATATCCTGTGAAAAAGAAAAAAAGCCCTTTCCATTGATTTTTACATTTATCTGCTGTAAAACAACAGATATATTACAGTTTATTATGTTGAATAAATATTATTACGATTAAAAAGTTTTAAAACAACTGAAATGTGGTAAAACTTTTTAAAGGCAAAGTTAATAACAAACAGGGTAAAATTGTTAAACATATTTATCTTGACCAGTTAAATTTAACAGTTAATTCCTGGAAATATTATATATTTTACCGTTAAACAGTACATTACATGTGCATTATCAGTTTTTTTGTGTAAATTAAACATTGGCAACTAAAAGATGCACAAATTTAATCAAGGAACAGATTATCATTGAAAATGAATAAGAAAATTATAAATAACATCTGGGAAAGAAGAAAGTAAAGATTATATTTTCTGCATGATCACAAATCAATATAAACCTTAATAATGTAGCATATAACCGCTGATGGTTGAACAAAAGCATGAAAAATAGTCAATGAACAGCAGTAACAAGTCATGGAGTCTGGACTTGGTTGAAGATCTCTGACAGATGCGGTTCTAAATGTTCATCAAAGAGAAAAAGTTTTCACTTTGGCCTGAGAAGATGCACCAAGTGAGTCAAAAAGGCAGTTTAGGTCTAACCAGAAGCTCTTATTGCACTTCTGGTTAAACCTAAACTGCATTTCGTCGCCTTGTACCTGTACATGTGTAATGACAATAATGTTGAATCTAATCTAATCTGCCCTGCAGAAAGAAAGAAAATACACAGTTACCAACATCTGATCAATGCCATGCATGCATAAAATGAACAAAGACAAAACAATATGTTAAACTTTCAGAAAGTATTGCTTAAAAGTTACAGTTGCAGGAGTTAAATCTAGTCCCCAGGTAGAAGGATAAACCCAAAACTAACTCAAAATGACAACAGGATATCACGTCTAATCGTTTATGGAACTTCAAATTTATGACTCTTAAGCAGAGGTCACCAACCATTTCAAGGCTGAGGGCTACTTCATGGCTATTGAATCACAGGAAGGGCTACCAATACTGACCTATGAACAAGAGGGGTCAGCGTTCACCTAAACTTCATCCAAATTAAACACATTTTTATTGTTAACTTTTAATTTCTAATTTTACTTTAAACATTATAATTTTAAAATCTCTATAAATGCTAAAATGCCCTATGTGATTACTATGATGAATAAAATAACATTTCAAACTTAGCCCACTGCTGAGTTGCTGTTTTCAGAAGGCGTTGAGGGCCCCCCATGTGGTCCTTGGGGGCCCCTTGGTGCCCGCGGGCACTGCGTTGGTGACCCCTGCTCTAAAGGATGCAGTTCCTCACATTAAATCTATTTGTTTTACCGTTTATAGACCGAACCATGTGACATCAGTAACTTAATTTGACTTTTTAAAACAGAATTTCTCTGCTTTGAAAAGTTATTTAACAAAACTGTATTTCAGGTTTAGAAATTGAATTTCATTCCTTTTAACACTATGTTTTAATAATTTTATTTCAGTTTTATTTCTTTTACTGTGTCATGTATCTGGGCTCTTTATAAAGCAGCTAATCAAACAGGTTTATATGGAACATCAGCTTTAATTATTTAATGGCGTTTTAGGTTTAAGAATTAAAGCATTCTGTCTTTAGCAGGTTTTCATCTGTCGTCTTCCTGAAACAGGTTTGCTTCTCATTTCTTTCCTTCTGATTCTGATCACAGCAGCACAGCTGTAGGGCAAAAAAAAAACATTTTTTTTTTAGAAAGTCGTTTGAAAAGAAGGAAATGAATAAAACTCACCGTGTCCTTAGAGTAATGGAGCCTTTGAATTGATTTCTTGATGTTTTCGTTTAAACGCAGGGTTGGAAAATGTCAAGAAAAACACAAACTTTCTGTTAAAAGGAAAAGACAAAATAAGGTTCAGCCGGCTGATGAATGTGTAAAATAACTGACCAATTAAAGTGACCAGATTTCTAAAATCAATCTGGGGAAATTACCAGCTCATGGATAAAAAGATAAAATGAATATCATCAAAATTAAAACAGGAAACATGGACAGTGATGCTTTCATCCATTTTTACATATTTATTAACATTTAAACAACAAAAATCAGGTGTTAAATCCAGGAATGTGCCTCTCCTATTTCCTTAGATAAATAAAATCACTCATTGGATGGTGTTTATTAGTGCCATCTGGTCATTCATTCGTCCCTCTCCATCTTCTTTTCTTTCTAGCTGACTCCTGCCTGCTCTCTTTTTTACTCTTAAGCAGATTTTCTTCTTTCTATTTAACTGATCTTTCCATCCGTCTTCCTATTTTCCTCCACTCTCATTCCATCTGCTTTCCATCAGTCTTCTCCTCTCCTCTTCTATCAATCTAACACTGATCTAAAAAAAGACAAAATACAGTCAAAATTCCTCCAAACACATAAATCTAATTATACATATTATTATTATTATGATTATTATTATTGTTGTTGTTTTTATCTCCCCTGATTAATTACTAAAAAGCTTAATCACCACAATATTTGGAGCTAAAAGTAAAAACAATCTACTAAATGAAGATTAAACAGGTGTTTATCTGTTCCTCCATCATTCTCAGATCATGCACATCTTGTCTCATTCAGTTTTCCTTTTCCTGTCTCTTATTTTCTAGAATGAGGAACTTTCATAGATCCAGATGGTAGAAAAGTAGATCTAAGCGTGGAAGTCAAACAACCTATAATAACTATCTGCAGATCTAAACTAAAGGTCACCAATCAGTTCTAGAAGCATCTTTAGATGAACCCTTGTTAATCCTGGAGAACCACTGAACCAGATTAGCTCCTTATGAGGAGTTTTCAATCTGGATCATTTGATCTGAGTCTATTTCCTCCTGCAGCTGCAGCCAATGGTCTGTCTGACTGTTTGTTGATTAGTTTGGTTTATGGTAGCTACATTTCTGCTCCTCATCTTTAGTGAAACAAACAAATCAAAGGTCTTTTTTTATTAACCTGGGCACGAACCAAACATTTGAACCAACACCAAATGAACTATTTAACCCCCTCACCATCACACAAGGCAGCTGAGACCTTTTCTGATAATCCTCATCTGCTCCTCA